GACGGCTATGTCAGGTCCAGTGAGATAAGTCATGTGAAGGACCTCGAACAGCGCTAAGCGTGGCTGAGGGTGCTGGCCAGTCAGCCACTACCAGCATCAGGGTGCTTGGCTGGCAAACTGATGCGCAGGAGGTGGGACCATGGAGAGAAAATCTACAAGGCTGTCGTAGAGGACATGGGCAGATGACATGCTAGAGGAGAGCAGGATGGCCCAGGCATGGCAGGCTTCCAGTGGAGATGGCCACTGACCCAAAGGCTGAAGCGTGCCACAGGCCTGGCTCTGGGCAAAGCATTCTAGATAGAGGGAATACCACATCCCAACAGCTGGCAAGTTCCAGGTGATGGTGATGTCTTTGGAGCTTAGTGAGCTGGGGTGGAGGGCCAGGGTCAAGGGAAGGACAGGGACGGGGCCCAGAGGTGGGGCAGACCCGCTGGACCTCAGGCAGGCAGGAAGGAGTTGGGACCAGACCCTGTCTGCAGTGATGGCCACTGTTCTAGGCCGGGCTGTGGCACAGAGAGAACCACTGCTGGAAGGTCCCTGTGACTGTCAAGTGGAGAGCAGACAATGGAGGAAAGGGTCAGAAGTGACACTGTCCCAGAAAACGAGTGTGCCCCGGGGACGCACTCAGCTGCAGGCGTGTGCCGAATTCCTGGGAACATCGCTGAGGCTCCACCTCCTGACCTGTCCTGTGGGGTGCCGGGCTGGCTGGCACACGGACAGCTTGGCTCTGTGTATCTGAAAGAACGTAAGGAGGGAGGGGAGGAAAGGAAGAATAAGGGAAAGGCTTCGTTGAGAGATGTGGAGGGTTTCTCTCCCCCTGATTATAAGGCAACAGAGTCATAGTTTTTTTTTTTAAATAGTGTTTAACGTGGGGCATGGTGGCACATGCCAGTTTTCCCAGCACCCTGGGAAACTGAAACAAGAGCATCACAGTTCCAAGCCTGGTGATTTAGCAACTTAGAGAGACCCTGTCTCTAACCAAAAGTTTTTACAATGTGCTGGGGATATAGCTCAATGCGAAGACCCTGGGTCCAATCCTAGTACCACCCAAAAAACACATGTGTGCATGTGTGTATAAAGGTAACTGAAACACCCACATGCACTGCACTTATCCGTAGTGAGCATTTTGGGGTCCTCTTTCTGGAGCTCTCCCTATGCACCCTGGGGCCCCACAAGCATGACAGCCTCATAAGTGCTAGCTCGCACCTGGGTGCTCAGAGTTGCTCACCATCCTGGTTACTTTTCCCATTGCTCTGATGAGAAGTACCTGACACCCAAAATTAAGGAAGGAAAGGTGTTTTTTTTTTCCAGTACTGGGGATCAAACTCAGGACCTTGTACTTGCCAGACAGGCACTTAAGCTGCTGAGCTATCTCCCCGGCCCTGAGGAAAAGCTTATTTAATTTAGCTCACAGTTTGTCGAGGTTTCTGTCCATGAGATGAAGATAGGTGGCTTCAGAGAGGACAGCAATTGATGGCCGGCAGAGGACTGCAAAATCAATAGGGGGGAGCAGAGGGAGGGACAGAAACAGAGAGAGGGAGAGAGATGGAGATGGAAAGGGAAATGGGGGAGACAGACAGAGGCAGAGAGAGGGGTGGAGAGGGAGGGGGAGAGACAGACAGGTAGACAGACAGACAGACAGACAGACAGACAGACAGACAGACAGAGAGAGCGAGCACGAGTGGGGGGGTGCGGAAAAGGACAGAGAAACAGAGACTGGGCATGGTGGCACATGCCTGGGAGGTAGCTCAGTGGCAAAAGTGCCTGCTGGCAAGTGCAAGGTTCTGAGTTTAATTCCCAGTACCACAAAAAAATAATAAAAAATAAAAATAAAAATTCAATCCCATGCCGGGAAGGCTGAGCCAGGAGGAAAACTATAAGTCTGAGCTGTGCAGCGAGACCCTGTATCAAATAAATAAATAATTTTTAATTAAAATAAAAAATAAGAAAAGGTAATTTAAAAACTGCAATGGAAAGCGGAAGCATCTGCGTGGCTGGCTGGTGTATGGTGTGCGGCTTGCGCGACTCCATCTGCAGAAACCAGGAACCTTATTTTCGAGCGAATCCAAAATCCAGTATGAAGTTAGCATCTTTTTCAAGTGAACACAGTCCAGCACTTATTCTTGGCCAATGCTTTTGCAAAGGCAAAGTATCCTTTAGGGAGGGTCCAGACCTCCTAATCTGTCTCACTGCCATAATTTACTTAAGTGTTTCCTCTCCCTGGACATCCAGGTAATTTCCAGTTTGAGATTTGGGAGAATAACATGCAGGGAACACCCTTGAGGACAGCAGCTGCTCCAGGTCGGTCCCTGTCTCTGGACCTGTGTCCGGCGATGCTCACATTTGGGAAGCTGGTCCTGAGGACCGGAGCAGTCAGTGCAGCTGGCAGACCACATGCAAGACTGAGAGTGGGGCTGAGTTCCAATCCCGCCAACTCCCCAGCTTTGCACCAGAGACAGCTCAGTGGCAAGGGATCCACCTCACATCTGCTGGACAGCACAAGCTGTCCCCGCAGATGCGTCCCCCAGTTGGGGCTGGACCCTTCCTTCTGCCACAGATGGTTGCTGTGTCTGCTCAGTGGGTAGCTGGAACCAGAGCTCCCCCCTTCAAAGGTCCTCCCCCAGCCAAACACAAGAGCACACCACCCTCCTGGTGACCCACAGAAGTGCTGCCTCCTGCTGGTCAGTGTCCTGCACAGCAAGGGTCAGCTATGACACCGTACACACCAGACAGTGCCAGTAGAGACAGCTGGCTTGGCCAAGGACCCCGATGGGGGCGGGGGGACACGGACTGGACTCCTCAGCCTCAGCCTTCCTCTGTACATCCATCTTCACCCAAGAAATGACCTATGGTTTCCTTTTTCTCCCTTTCACTGCCTCACTGGGTATCGAGTCTTGAAAACTAGCTTCCTGTGTGTATGTATGTCATATGTGCGGTACTAGGGTCCAACATGCTAGGCCCAGGCACTGCCATGAGGCTCCACACCCAGTCCTTTTCATTCGACTTGTTCATCCCCTCACTTCTGCAACAAGGGTTAAGTTGTACAGGCTGTCTTTGAGCTTGCAATAGTCCTGCCTCAGCTTCCCAGGGGGTCAGGATTACAGGCCTGTGCCACCAAACACAGCTCAAATTATGTTCCTTCTTAACAGGTGACCTCAATACCCTGAAGAGTGTTCTGTGAGCAGCCCACACCCCCATCCCACTGCCAGGAGAAGGGGTCCCCATTTCCCTAGATAGAGCACACGCGGTCCTGTATGCAGGGGGCACCTCACCCTGCTCTCTTATTAGCCAGCTCGGGCCGCAGTTCCCCTGCTTTGTGGCACCTTTTGTCACTGAGAAGCTGATCTTGAGGCTGTTCCATCTCAGAGCACATAGCTGCCTCACTCTCTTATATCGGCTACGTGTGCCCTGAGGGTGAGAATTGGTCCCGTACGTGAATCGTAGGTTATGATTATTCGTTACTGCGGCACACAGGACTTTGACGTGCCCTTATGCCAGTAACATGGTACAGATGCGTGCAGGCCTCAGGATGCCTTAGGGCACCAGCCAGGGTCTGGGTTTCAGGTCAAAGGGTGTCTGTTGGTGCATGTTCTTCAGGTGGTGACAGCACCGCTCGTAGTCCTGCAGGCCCTGATGAACAGTAGTGTTTTCATCTTGCTGCCCTCTGGAGCGTGAAGCGTGACGTCTCTGGGTGGTTTCCACATTGGATAGAGACTGGAAAGTCAACGTGTGTGTTTCCAAAGCCCCAAGGACAGGCCACCAGAGTGGCTTCCTTCTGCGTGGCTGTGTGCACAACTGGCGCAAGGACACTGCTCTTCTGCTCCGTCCCCACCTGCGGTCCTTCAGAGACTGGTGTCCGTGCCTCCCCACGAGCACGTTAGGGGGCTTAGTTGCCAAGCCAGAGCTGGCCCACTGGACCCTTGCCCTCTGCCCACCCCTGCAGACGAGTTCTGGTAGGAATGAACTCATAACCCCCCTCAGGAAAGGGCTGTCCCACCTCCGCTTGCACGCGTGTTCCTTGCTGCTGCTTCTGTTCGAATTCTACGCCTGATCAGAAACAGGGTATTTTAAAAGAAGAGAAAAAGAAATTCAGATCTGTCCAAGGAATTGACAAATGGAGCTGTGCTTTTTCTTTTCAGATACAAGCCTGTTTTCATTTTAGTTTTTTAATTCAATTCAATTGCTTTGCATTCCTGTGGTCTCTAATGTGCGAGTGTGTGTGTGTGTGTGTGTGTGTGACACACTCAGCCTTCTAATTAAAACAAGATTTAAGCTGCCAGAATACTGTCTTACAATATTGTCTATTTTTTAAAAGGCAGGGAGGATTCCTGTATTTAGTGTTTCTGTACTCTAACTTTTCTACTTTTTTGTTTACTGGATTTTTTACCAAATAAAAACTACCTTACTGGAGCTCATGAATTAAATATGCTAAGCAAGGGTCAGCTATGATGCTGTACACACCAGACAAGATAAAGAAAAGCTAAAGAAAGGCGTTCCACCTTCCGGACTTGGGGCCTGCCCCTGCAACACGCTTATTTTCGGCGTGCACTGGCAGTATTGGGTTTTGTCTTCTGCACGCATACCTGGCCTTTGGGGCCAGTCCTGGGGACCTTCGGGGATGCCCCTTGTGACTGTGGCTCCCAGGGCCTAACGCCCTGCATTTCTACCCCAGGTCCTGCCCTCGCCTCCGGTCCCACAGACAACCCAGGGCTTCATCGGCTGGCGGTCCGCAGTGCCGGGCCTCAACAAGTGCCTGGAACACGACAGTGCCATCCGGAGCTGCAAAGGCGCCTACGCCCGGGGCCTCGGCTGGCCCAAGCAGGGCATCCACTGAGCCTCAGCCCAGCCAGCGAGCGGGACCCCTGGGTGCCTGCCAAGGGAGATCGCCCATCCCACGTCTTCGCCCAAGGATGTAGCAAAGAACAGGAAGTTGGCCTTAAACCATCTGGCTCCATCCTTCCAAATGTCCATGTGAAATGATGGCTCCTGATTCATGTAATGAAGAAGGCAAAATAGATACCCTATTATTGTTTGCTCGCTTCTCAATACCTTGGGAATCTCAATATTGTATGGGGGGGTGGTGTTTGTTCTCATTGTTTTGAGACAGGATCTTGCTCTGCTGCCCTTGAGCTCACAGTGATCCTCCTGCCTGGTCTCTGGAGTGCTGGGATGACAGGGATGCACCACCATGCCTGACTTACAAGGCTTTAAAAAAAAAAAAAAAAACAGCAGTGATTTAATTTTAGAAATATTGGTTTGGGCCTTTTTGCTCAATGCTGTAGACCCAACCCTGGTCCTGGTCATGCCAGGCATACCCAGCGGCTCCTTCGCTGTGACATCTGTAGTAAGTCAACAGTTGCCAGGGCAGAAGCAAACCAAAGATTTGCTGTCAAGGGGAGATTTGCAGAAGGCTTCCCCAGGGATCTGAGACCACCACCCTCCTGGGCTTTGCACGGCGCCCACCTGAGCACAGGCAGTGCCAGGCTGGCCAACAAGTGTGTTCCTGCCCCTACACATCAAACTCTTGGTTAGTGTTTTATACCGATCCCTGTCCAGCTCCAGAGCTTTGCTTTTGGCCCTCAAATAAGGGGTAGAGAAGCGTGCATCCAGGTGGCCAAAGAAGAAGAGCCGGCAGGTCCTCGGCCTCAGGATGGACCCCAAAACACAGGTGAGGGAGCAGTGGGTGGTGGCCTGGGGGAGCTCGTGCAGGTCCATTTCTTAGAGCTCAGGGTCAGCACCTCCTTCAGACCTGGCACATGCAGAGCAGAGAGGCCACACAGAGGCATCTGCCCTCCATAGGGACACACGCTATGCCCATCACCTTTCTGTTGCTGGACCAAAACACCTGACACCCACAACAAAAAGGACAAGCTTATTTTGGCTCATCTTTTGGAGGGTTATGTGAGAAGCTACACTAAATTGGCTCAGCAGTTTTACACCCTAGGGTTTTGGGTGTGTCTGGCTCTTTCTTTAATTATTTTATTTATTTTTTAATTTTGTGTGTGTGTGTGTGTGTGTGTGTGTGTGTGTGTGTGGCCAGCTCAGCCCACCAGGGAGCGGGGCTGGCTGGCATGTGGTGCTGGGGGATTGAACCGCGGTCCCTGATGCTTTGCTAAGCTTGTTCCAAGTAGGTGCTTTAGACCACTGAGCCATCTCTCCAGCCCCTGGCTCTTTCTTTAGAGGAGCCCTAGTCTTTCACCTTCACCCTGGACATCACCTACTGGCTTCCGGTGTAGACTTTTTTCACTTCCGGCACAGTTTCTTCAGGCTTCCGGTGTAGACTCGTGAGCCTCCCATCACAGACCCACCAGCCTTCTGATGCAGACTCTCATGGGATGCTGCAGTGAGCTCCAGACCTTGGCCTGAATCCTCCGTTCTCACTTGTGCAGACGCCCTCTGCATGCTTCCTCATCTGACTGTCGCAGGTAGCTTCCTCCTGTGCTAAGTCAGGCCTCCTTATTGGCCATGGGGAACGCCTCCCTGTGTTTGTAGGGAATGCCTCCCTGTGTTTGCCTCTGTCTCTCTGGTGGGATTGATGAAGCCCATTCACCCTAACATCTGCTATTCCCTCTTCCATCCAGCCATGGGCAGGTCTACTGCAACTAGTGTAAGAATTCTCTGTCTTAGGATTGTCTGAGGACCTTGAATACCAGCCTCAATGCCTCTGATCCACATCTAGCGGGACTCCATGACTGTTGCAGTACCCAGTGCCATCCCCACGGGCTCTGAACTAAGAACCTCCCAGCCCCAGAAGTCCCAGCATAGGAGCTTTTCCTACTTGGGGACACTGCTCTTGGTAGAATGTGACTTGAGATCAGGCTTCTTGTCTCTTGAGCCAACACTTTCAGAGCCAACCTCTCGGGGCTGAGGACAGGCCTCAAGCCTCCCAGGCGCATCTCTGCTTCACAACATCACTCTTCCAGCCCTTGGGGGGGTGGCGCTCAGGTTCCCAGGGCTTCCTAGCCTGGGACAACCAAGGCATAGGACAGCCTCTCAAGAGGCTTGTCATCGCCTCCGACCACACTGACCATATTCATCTGCTGCCACAGCTCCTAATTAGGGCTGGGTGTTGTGGGTTGTACAGTGTCCCCTAAAAAGATTTGTTGAAGTTCTAGCCACCCAGATCTTGTGACTGGGACTGATAGTTCATGGTGACATCAACCAGAATGGATTAAGAAATGCCAACAGCATTCATGCAGCATAGCTCTGGGTGTTCTGGTTGATTGATGTGCAGGCCAAAACACAGAAGAGGAAGGCCAAGTAGTGCCAATAACAGCTGATGGCTTTGGTGGAATGAAAGGGAAAAGAAGAAGGCAGCCTTCCCTTTCTGCTTCTCTAGAGGAGCTTCCGTTTTCACCATCACCTTTGGGAGCTCGTCCCCAGTTCCTCAGGATTCCAGTGCAGCTCTTCAGCCTTCCAGCGCAGACCGTTTGGCTTCCCAACAGACTTACATCAGACTGTGGTGAGCTTCAGGTCTTAGACTCTCAGCGGGATCCTCCAGCCCTCTGCACACAGGTAGCCACGACACACAGCTGGCCATTGTTCATTCTTCAACCCCTGACGCCACTGGTGACCATATCTAGCTGATTTCGTGGCTCCTCTGTATAACATATATATTTTTCATGCATTAAATCTGTTCCTCTAGTGGACCCTGACTAATGCGATGACCTTATCCAGAAATAAGGTCATTACAGAAGCGACTAGTTGAGCTGAGATGAGGTCACCCTGGCCTTTTGATCCAGTATGACTGGTATCCTTAAAGAAAAGGAGAAAGATACCGATCCAGTTTGACTGGCCTCACACGGGGAGAGACAGCTGTGTGACCAGAGGCAGAATCTGAGTGAGACACCCATAAGCCCAGGGATGCTGAAAATCACCAGTGACCTATCAGAAGCTAGGAAGAGATGAGGAGGAGCCCACCTTGCCTATTTCAGGGGAACAAGGAACCTTGACTTCAGACTTCTGGATTCTTTCTGGGCTGTGAGAGAATACAGTTAAGCCACCCAGCATGTGTTTTATTCCATTGCAGCAGCCCTGGAGAATAACCAAAGCCTGGAAACATTTTTCTGTCTCCTCCTCTTCCCTCACTCCCCGCACACCTACAAGCCACCCTCCTCCAAACCATGTGTCTTTCATTTTTCCTGACCACGGCTGCCTCTTTGTGGGACCAGATCATGTGGCTCTTTTAACTCCAGAGATGTTTCCAGTAACCCAGATGTTTAGACCAATGTAGACTAAACAGCCGGCTGCTTGGCCAGGCCCGTCCCTATTTGATCCTAATGGTTTGGTGTCTGGGCCACCACAGTAGGCAAAGCATTTGCCCTTGAAGAACTGTGGTCTCTTCTTGTGACCACATGTCCCCACCAGAGTAGAGCAAAGTGGGCAGAAAGAGCAGTGGATCACGGATTTCCCAGTCAGGAGGTAGTTCACATCATGGTTGGGGATGGAACCCAGGGAGTCACGAGTGCTAGGCCAGCACTCTGCCACCAGGCTGAGTCCCCTGCCCACACTTGCTCTAATTCTCCATCACAGATGGATCTAGCAGTCCTCTTCCATGTTATCTGTGTGCCAACAAGAGCGGGGCAGCAAAATGACCCTGCAGAAAAGGGGCACTCTAGATCTGTCTGGACCCCAAAGCAGGCCAGGTCCATTTAGGGTGCTCTGAAACATGCCGGGGAGCTGTTTTTGACTCTGCTTCTAACTGACTGTGCGGTGTTGACTGACCTCAGACTTTTAAGGACACTTGTGGGCACTGTTGGCAGGGATGACAGATGGGGATGACCAGGCCCATCCTAAGTGGATTGTGACACTTCAGCAAGCCTGGACAGTCTGACAGCAGGCAGAGGTCTCAGGCTGACTGGCTCTTCCCGTACACCACACAGCAGCAGAGGAAGTGGGCGTGGTATATCCAAAGACAAACTTGCCTGCCCTTTGGACAATCAGCACACAAATACGTGTTGAATTATGCAGGGAACAGCTGGGTATACCTGTATTTCCAGGACTCTGGGAGGCTGAGGCAGGAGGATCATATATTGGAGCCCAGCCCAGGCAACTTGGTGACTTTGTGAGTCCCCGTAGTTAAATGAAAGCTTTTAAAGGGTGCAAACATAGTTTAGTGTGAAGATTCTTGGTTCAATTCTCAATACTGGAGAAAACAACCTAAGAAGTAGTAATGATGTGATGCTTGTTATGCTGCCTGTTCATTTAAATGAAACTGACTCCAAATTTATGTGCCTTAAACCTACTTTACTTAGAAACTGAAGTAGGGATTCCTTCCCCCATTTGGCTCCTGTCAATATACAGATGACTAGATTTTAAACTAACCAACATCTGATAACCTGTTAATGATTTTCATTTTGTTTTCTGTTTTCCATAATTTATTCACCAACCACATGCACGATTTTATTTAAAGAGATAAAATGGGGTGGTTTTCTGGTAGGGATCAGATTTTGCCATGCAGTGACCCTTCCCAGCCACCTCTTCCCTGGCCCCTCCCAACTGACCTTTCTGCATTACGCCATTTGGCCTGCACTCGTGGGCTCTGCACTTGTGGGCTCTGCACATGTAGGCTCTGCACTCGTGGGTTCAAAACAGGACCCAACATCCAGTCAAATGGCCCAGCTGAGAATCAAAGTGGACAGCACTCAAGGATTCAATTACCCTGGACGACTTCAAACTTGACATTTCATCTATGGAAATCAACCTCTTTGTGGGTGTCCAGAAGGACCCATAAATGTCACTACACACTGGAATATCACAGCATTTCCAAGGTCAACACGTAGCCACTGAACCTGTACGCATAACACTGAAACACATCCCAGCAATGAACGCCACCCTGGCCTGGGTCACAGAGAGTAGTCTCTAACGTGAGGCACAGTGTAATGGGGTTGGGACCAAGAACGGATTCCGTCACTAGCACATGTCAGACCAAGGTGAACTAGGAGC